GCTACAGTGAACCACTGTGTATGGAGCACACTTGAGCCACTGACACAGTATCTCTGGTAGGACACACAAGAAAAAGCATGGTTGCTTCCAAGAGAGTAGCGCAGTGACTGGAGGGCAGTGGAAGTGCTAACCAAATATTCTTTTATAGCTTTTGAATTTTGTTTCATGTGCATGTATAACCTAGTCAAAAAGAAAAAAAGAGCCAGGCCGGGCGTGGCTCAGCTGTTGAGCACCGACCTAGGATCTAGGCGATCGGGGTTCAATTCCCAGTGGGGGCACGTGCCCGGGTTGCAGGCTCGATCAATGACTCTCATCATTGATGTTTCTGTCTCTCTCTCTCCCTCTCCTTTCCTCTCTCTGAGATCAATAAAGATATATTTTTTTAAAAAAAGAAAAAAAGATCTTTAAGCATCTTCCTTCTTAAAATGAATTCTAAAAATATAAGTTGACCTATAATTGTAAATCTTTCCAGCTTTTCCATTGCTTTGTGGCATCTCTTGGAATTGGTTCTCCCTAAGCACCAGGGAATGGTTCTCACTTCTCTGCCGCCTCCTTGTCGCCTCCTTGTCATGCTTCACAAACTCCTTCCCTCCTCAGCATCCCTTCCTGCCCCACGCCAGGTGCATGCTGATGCCGGGGTTCAGGTTCAGCCTCAGCCTCATCTCAGCAGGAGGCACGGGGGCAGTGCTGCCAGTTATTGCATTTATGCAGCCACTTTAAGCAACTTATCCTTTGTAATTTTATATTTAAGTGGCTAAAGCATCTTGTTCGTGGACACTTGGGATTACCTTCTTACCCTCTCTTTTGTGCTTTTTATAAACGGAAGGCTTTTCTGAGGACATTCTGATCTTCCCTCAGCCATGAACAGAATTACACCCACGATGGAAAATTGAATATTGTCCATCTCACTCTGTGCAGAAGGATAGAGACCAGGAGGCATTTTAATAAAATTATATATACTCCTACATGCTCTGCAACATTGCAAACCTTTCTGTAACAGTGACAGTCACTTCGCCTCAGGCTTCCCAAGTCCTTTTTTTTTTTTTTAAAAGAGCATTTCACTCATTAGATTAACCACTGGAGATTAGTCCTGTTTGAGAATTACCCTTTGATAGCTTATCAATGTCTTAGAACCTGTACCGGTTTAACTAGAGGCAGCAGCAAGCTACACAGGTCTCGCTGACACACGTTCCCTTTATTCAGTTAAATCACCTTCCCTTGTTGAGGGGCTTGTTCAGGGGTTTTTGAGAGTCATGGAATAGCCACCCCTTGGGAAGAAAGCTGATTTTCAGGAACCTGTGGATACATAAGACTGTCTCACAATTTGAGATTCATGGTGAGAAAAATAAGGTTTTGAAAAGAGAATGTTAGAATGAGAAATTCTGTGAAGTCCAGCAGGCAAAGGAGATTGCAATCTTAGCAGCCTGGGTGGGCGGGAGCTGTGGTTGTTGGTGGCTCCTCCATAACCTATAGTTAAGTAACGGAAGGAATTTCTGTGGCATGCTTGGCATCCGGATACTCGGTATCCACCCAGGATGAGCAGCCCTGTGACCTTCATGTCGCGAATGACCAGGAAATGGAGGTAGCAAACACTGTACCCGTCCGCCCTCACCCGGCCCTGATGTTGTTCATGTGCTGTCGCTGCGTCAGCTCAGGATGCCTGGAGTGACCCACACACCCCTCCTGCAGAAACTTCTGTATGTGAGCTGGGGTCTGTTTATAAGTACAGTGCACACTGGTTTTCCAGGTAGCCACGTGGAGATGAAAGCTTTGGATGTTCCAGCTGCTGTTGGGCTGAGAAATCTAAGGCTGAAAATTGGCCCCTGTGTTCAACAGAAGAACCTCAACAGAAGAATGGGGATTCTCTTAATATTTCCTCTCCTGGTGGCTGACAGGAGCAAACGTAGACTCGGTTTCAACCCCAGTTCTGCCGCTTAACAGCTGTGTAACACTGGCGAGTTACCTGTGTCCTCCCACCCCCCTGTTTCCTCTTTTCCCCCTTCCAGTATTCAAATATTTCATTTCCTTAATCAAAATATTAAAAAAATCTTTTTCCAGCTTCAATGACAAAAAGTATATGTATTTGAGGTATATGCCGCCAGTTTCTTTATTGGTAAAATAGGGATTAAAATAGGGTGAGATGGAGGCACACACAGTGGCCAGCAGGGCCTGGCACGAAGTTTGTGGGCTGCAGATGTTAATGAGGACCCTGGCCTCACTCCCTGCCACACAAGCACCACGTAGTTGTGGGTTTTCCAGGCCTCGCAAATGGGAAATTCCCCAGCTTCCCAAAGAGCATGGTTTCTTTGCTGGCTGGGAGGGAAGGGGCCCACGGTTCTGTGTTCTGGGTTACTTCTGTGCTAATACAGCATCTGTCACCGGTCTATAAATGAACACAGCAATGTTTTCCAAAGAAGATGCACTCTGGGCATCTTGAGTGCCCACAAAGCCTGCCACCCCTTCCTCCCATGTCCTCCCTGTGAGCCTCCCCACCCACCCTCTGCTTTTCCTCACACCACACGTGGCTCATGTGTGTGCTCCCATGATTTTCTGAGAAGACAGTCCTAGTAACTCAGAATTCAGGTGCTAAATTGCCTGCAGTTGTGTCACGTGGTGGTTCAGAAAATACCCTTCCTGCTCACTGAGCCACAACCGGGCAGAGGCCACACCCAGCCCTTCACTCCAGGCCCCCGCCCGGCCTGTAGCCTCCTGGGCTCCCCCGCTCCTACTGCGAGAAATAGGGGTGGGAGGGCATACTTGTGGATGGCCCTACTGTCCTTGTTCAGCACTAGTCCTTCTGTCTCCTGTTTTTTCATCGACTCCTGTTTTCTTTTCTTCTAGGATTTACTTGTCCTTTTAATGCTTTCTATTTAGCCAGTCTTTGTGGTTTTCTTTCACTTCACCCCCTTTCCCCCCAAATAAATCATTCTCCATCTCCTCCCTCTCCCACCTTTTCTGTCCAGAATGTGCCTTATTTTGTACACTGTACCCCCTCACCAGCCATTTCTCACTGTCCCTGTCTGTTCTGCTGCGCTCACCTCTTCTGGATTTGAGGGAACTGGTTATATGACCCTGTGGCAGGTTTCCAAGGGCAGTTGCCATACTCGGGCCTTCTGGTGAAGCCTGAAGTGCGTCCCCTTGAGAGGCCTCTGAGGGGGCTGGGAATCGGGAGGCCTGAATTTCTGCCTAACGCTGGTCACCCTCTTTTCGGAAATGCAGTTGTGGATTTGACTTGCTAATGGGAAATTCCCACCTGCCTGCCTGTGCCTCCTCTCAGAGACACCCAGATAGGCGATGTCATCAAGCATGAGGTTGACTTGCCTAGAATACAGCGGGAGTCGTATTTGCTAGAATTCACCGCTGGTAAAATCGTTCTCGGACTATCGAAGTTTATGTGTTTATTTTCCCTCAGTATCATCTTGTGTGTTATGTTTTCCAGATAGGAGATAGTTTGGTAAGTCGGAATTATATTCAGTGTTAGTTTCCATTTCAAATCTTAAATTTTCCTTATTAATTCCTCTGAAAATCAGTAGTGCAGGGATGAAAGGCACTCTACCTCTCATAAAGTGAATGTGACATGGTGAGAATAGTGCATCCCATCGTAAGCACTGTGTCCATGTTGCTGTGATTAATGAATTTGGAGGTTACCCTGTGCCTAGACCACCTAGATACTCCTTCTGTCCTGCCCCACCTCCCAGTGCTCCACTCCCTGGTGTAAAACAGGGCCACACGCCGTTCCACAGCTCCTCGGGGTGGTTTACTGAACTTTGTAGGTGGCATCCCTTTTCCTTATAGAAATTTCTTAAGAGATTTCTAGTCCTGCTCTCCTCTGATCCTTAACCAAAATTAGACGGATAATTGTAGTCTGCGTAATCAGTTGTGGGAACCACAGCTCCTCATTGTCGATAGTAAAGGCTGTCGCTGTCACGTGTATTCTTTTCCGCTACCTCATTTACACCTTATCGTTGTTATGGACATGCTGTTATATAACTTGGGGAACCTCAGAGACTTACTGGTCCTTTTAGTCATGGTGTCTGTTCCATTCCAGCTGGGGCAATGGGGGTTGGGCCGGCGCTGCACCAGATCCCATAATCCATACAGGGCACCTTCCACCCCACCCGCCTCACTCCCTCGTCAATAAAAAGAAGGGTTTGGACCAGGTTGTGTGGAGCTCGAGAGCTTTAAAAACCCCACACTGCCTCTTTCTCTGAAAGAGAAAGTTGTTTCTGAAGGAAAGGCTAGACCAGCACCATCCAATAAAAATATAACACAAGCCACATATGTAATTTTAAATTTTTCAGTAGCCGCATTAAAGAAGGTGAAATTAATTTTAGTAAAGTATTTTATTTAGCTCAATAAATAAAAAAAAAATTATCATTTCAACATGTAATCAACATAAAAAATTACTAATGAGATACTTTACATTCTTTTTGCTATGCTAAGTCTTTGAAATCCAGAGTGTACGTATCCATCTGGACCGGCCACATTTCCAGTCCTCAGTAGCTACGTGGCTAGTGACTATATTCATGGGCAGCACAGGTCTCTTGGTACTACCTGGGGTCCTAAGTCCTCAGCTCGGGTTCACAGGATTCACACAACTTCCATCCTTGGTCAGCCTTTTCATTTTTGTGGCTGGAAATGATAAAGCAGGGTCTAACAGATCATTTAAATTTGAGTCCGTACAAAAGAGTTGATTTTCTTCAGTAATGTTCCCCTAGCGCTCTCTGTAAATGCTCTCAGTCGAAGTTGTAAGACCCATTCTGCCCATGTAGAGTCTTGCAGAAGTGCTCCCAGCAAGTGCACAGAAGCCGGGCTGCTTTGAGCAACTGCAAACGAGAATGAGAGGATTTGATTTTCCATGATGTTGCAGAGCAGTGTGGGCTCAACCTTCTATTCCCCCGAGCCAGGGTTCAGAGGGGAGGGGACTTTCTCATGGGGAGGGAAAATTAAGCAACAAGTTAAGCAATAAATCAAGACCTTGTCTTTGTCTTTTCATGTAGTGGAATAGAAGATGAACTCAACTGAATTCAGTGAAGATGTAGAAGAAGGTAAAAAAAACTCTTATTAAAAATTATTTTTAATTTAATATTATTATTGGTCATACATTCACGTGGTTCAAAAATATGAAAAGCCCTGGCCGGTTTGGCTCAGTGGGTAGAGCGTCGGCCCTCACACTGAAGGGTCTCACGTTCGATTCTGGTCAAGGGCATGTACCTTTGTTGCAGGCTGGAGGCAACCAATTGATGTGTCTCTTCTCATCAGTGTTTCTCTCACTCTGTCTCTCTCTCTGCCTTCTACTCTCTGAAAAGCAATAGAAAAAATATCTTCACCTGAGGATGGAGATTTTATATACACACACACAAAATGAAAAATGAAGTCTCCTTCCCCTGGTACACAACATGCCCCTTATCTATGTGTTTTTCCAGAGTTACTTTTTCTAAAAGCATTTTTTAAAAGTAGTATTTGTTTCCCTCTATCTCCTCTCTCCCCCCCTACCCTCCAAAAAGACTTTAAAACCAGTTTTGAACAAAATGTACTTGGAACAGGGTTTTATTGTATAGCACTAGTGCGGTAAGATAAAAATTGCTTGGTTGGAAGATGCAGTTTCATAGTGACTAGACTTTATCATCTGAGTGGTAGTGTCAAAGGACAGCCCACAAACAGCCTGTCTCTGGGGGTACCCTGCTGCTCTCTAAGCAACCCAACGTTCTTTCCCACTGAGCCCTATCTCTTCTCTGCCACAGTTCTAAAAAATAACACTGTGAAAGTGGAGACGGAGGCTGAAGATGCTGTCCTGGACTGCTCAGTGAATTCCAGATCTTCAGAGAAGCACCCTCTGGACAGCGTCTTCACCACCCTTCAGGACTCCAACAAGCGAAAGCAGCCGGGCAGCGAGGGCCAGCCAGACTCTGTCTCCAGCGTGAAGAGGCGGCGGCTGATTCCCGAGGTGAGGGGGCAGCCTCTGCTGTGTCTGCTTGGGCTCTAACCCTCTAACGAGATGCTGAATCTCTGCTCATGGGACCTGAGCAATTCCTGAACCCCTGGGCATGAGAAGGCTCTTATTTCAGCTGTCCCATCTCTGGCTTGAGTGTCTACAAAGTGTCCTTAACTGGAATCTTGTCTGTGTCTGGGTTCAGTGGGTGGAGGGAGCCTTCATAAGTATCTGCTTCTGAGTTCTTGGTTTTGCCCTGCTCTGCAGGGAAGACAAGAACTTGTTGATGGCAAGCCTGGTTTTCATCGTATACTCTACATGGATTCTCGGGAAAGTGCCAAGGGTTGGCAGGTCTTTTCCTAAATCAAAGTCATCTTTTATGCCTATTAGGGGAGCTTGTTGCCTAAAGAAACTGTTCAGGGAATCTTTTTTGTGAAGTGGAGAATTCTATATCACACTTGTATTCCTAAGTTATCTATTTTATGAATTGACTTTCTTAGTCACCTGGTGGTTTTATTGAACTTTGCCAAATTCTGAGGGAAAAAATGGAACTGATGGGAGAAAGTGGCCCCCTCTAGCAGCCTGTAGTCCAGACGGGAGATAAGACAAGTACACAAAACAGTGAAGACTGAGGAGAGAGAGGGGGCTTTGGGAGATGAGGAGGGGTGTCGCCTGGGATATCTTGTCATTGAGCCTCCCCATGGACCAGCAGATTACACCTTAAACTCTTAGAACATTTTCCCAAACTCTCTAACCCAGCCACACACACACACACACACTCACTCACTCACTCACTCACTCTCACTGTCTTAATATACATGTATATAATACATTATAATGAGGACTGACCTGCATTCCACATCATAGAACATTGAGCAATATGTTTATCTGTCTGTCTATCTCTCTATCTATTTATATAGGCCCTCCCCCAAAAAACAGCTTTATTGACATATAACTCACATACTGTACAAGTCACCAATTTAAGTTGTACAAGTCAGTGGTTTTTCATATGTTCACAGAGTTGTACAACCACCACCGCAATAAGTTTTAGAACATTTTCATCACCCCACAAAGAAATCCTGTATCCATTAGCAGTCACTCTCCATTTCACCCCTCTTCTAGCTCCTGGCAACCATTAGTCTACTTTTTGTCTCTATGGATTTGCATGTTCTGAACATTTGTTACAATTGGAATCATAGAATAGGTGGTCTTTTGTGTCTGGTTTCTTTAATTTAGCAAATGTGTTCAAAGTTCATCAATGCTTTAGCATGTATCAGTACTTCATTCCTTTTTATGGCCTAATAATATTCCATGAAGTGAATATACTATATTTTGTTTATTCATTCATCAGTTGATAGACATTTGACTTGCTTTCACTTTTTGATTATCATAAGTAATACTCAAACAATACATTTTTTAAAATCAATAATGCCCAGCCCGACCAGCGTGGCTCAGGGGTTAAGCAGTGACCTAGGATCCAGGAGATTGTGGTTCAATTCCTGGTCAGGGCACATGTCCAGGTTTCCGGTTCGATCCCCAGCAGGAGGTGTGCAGGAGGCAGCCAGTCAGTGACTCTTTCTTATCATTGATGTTTCTGTCTCTCTCCCTTTCCCTTCCTCTCTCTGAAATCAATAAAAATATATATTTAAAAAATAAATAAAAATAAATCTTTCATGCTTAAAAAAAAATCTACAATGCCCAGAAGAAAAGTTGAATTTTTATACCTATATGAGCATTTTTTAAATAAAGGATTGATTAGAGATATCCCATCCTTGACTCTGGCTGCCTAAACCAGCCACTGACTGCGTACCTTCTTACTCTGGGGAAATTTGCCTGTGTGAATAACAGTTTCTGGTGCAGTAAGTAGTGACTACAGAATACATCTCAGATTTCTGTCTGTTGAAAGCTACAAGATGGTTAGTAGAATAGCTTCTTTGAAGAACATTTAACCATTTGCCCTTTCTTATGTTTTACTTTAGACCATAATTTATCATTCTTTTCCCTAATGGTTGATACTCAGGTGTTTTGCACTTTTATACTATTACAGTAGTGCCACAGGACCATCCATATACATGAATGTAGCACCCCTCCATGAGTGTGCCCGTGGGTTGGGTTCCTAGAGGTTATTCTGAAAGTGTTGAGGAGTTTGCAAAGCACTGTTAAGTTCCTAAGGGAACTCCTGAAAAATTTTCTTCTGTTTGTCGTCTGCTTATGATCAGTCCTACAAAATCCTTCAAGTTTGTGAGTAAAGCCAGAGTTTAAGAAGTGGAACACAAAGTTGAGTCCATTGATTCACTTTTGCTGTGTAACAACTGGCTCCTGCCCCCAAAAAAACCAGAACAAAACAAGAAAACTTTTATTTATTTATTTATTTATTTTATATATCTTTGTTGATTTCAGAGAGAGGAAGGGCGAGGGAGAGAGAGAGATAGAAACACCAATGATGAGTCATTGATCAGCTGCAGCCCGCAACCTGGGCATGTGCCCTGACCGGGAATCAAACCCCGATCGCCTGGATCCCAGGTCGAGGCTCAACCGCTGAGCCACGCCCGGCCGGGCAAAACTTTTTTTTTTTTTTTTTA